CATGTAAATGAAGAGTTCAGTTGTTGGACAGGCTCTGTGGTTGGTTGATCTAGCATCCTAACAATGTCATCAATGACCCAGTTTCTTTCCATCTTTCCATTGTGCTGTCCACAGTATCAATTTCATCTTAGGTGGCTCCCTTCAAGTTTAGAGTATGCATACCACCAGCAATGAGGATTCCTATCTTCCTCTTTCTTAGAAGAGGGAAGACAATTTCCTCATAGAGCAAAAGTCCTGATTATCAAACCACAGCCTGTTTGGTTCAAGCATCTGAGTGAGCCAAGCACTGTGGCAAGAGGGATGGGGTGACTTTTCATGTCTTAGGTCAGTCAGGGCACACCCCCAGAAATAAGGATAAGGATGTGTTTCATCTAAGTCACATAGCTGCCACATGATGGAGGAGTGGACTGAGACTGGTAAAACATTTTCAGTGCATAATATTAAACCAGATGGTAGAGTCTGGAATAATGAACTAAATGTCTTGAAAGTTTTCGAGATCTTTGTTTGATTTACATTTTTCCCTCCATCTTCATTTTTCTCTACTACGAGACTGGAAGTCCAGGATGGCAGGAATCATTTATTCACGATTTACTCAGTACCTACATTAAATGCTCAGTATTTATTGAGAGAATAAATGAATTTACCACAAACTTATTAGAAATAACTTGGAGCATTAAATAGGTAGCTATAATTATGTAAAATGGAACTGTCCAGGAATATGATGTCAGAATTAAAAAAAAATTTAGGGAGCAGTAGATAGCAGTAGAATTGAATTGAAAATAATTTTAGGGTCAGAATCCTATATCTCATCAAGGAAAGTGAAAATAGGACAAATAATTTTTCTAAGTGGTATTGTAAATTCTACAATTTATTGTATGTTTGGGGTGTCAGATTTAATAAGACATAAAAAATGTTTTACAAAAAAGCAGAAAGGTAAGTGCAAAGTGAAGGATAACTAATATAACTATTTTTAAATTAAATTAAATTAAATTAAATATGAGCACAAAATTTGTAATTTTCTAATGGAATAAAGTATAGTATCAATATACCTCAAGCTGATGGTAATGATTTAACTTTTTTTCTATCTAAAACACAAATCAAGTAACCTTTCATATTGTGATAAAGCTATTAGAGGGAAAGAAGTGTATAATAATTTTGTATGATCTCTGACTTTCCATTTTTAACATCTTTTATTATCTAGATTCCTTCTGAAGAGTTGAACAAAAATTTGTTTTGAAACTCAGAATACCCTTTAAACACACTAAGTCTTTTAAATTATACATATATAAATTATACATGCAACACATATAAATATGATTTTTAAAAAATAGAGATGGGATCTATTTATATTGTCCAGGCTGTTCTCAAACCCCTGGGCTCGAGCGATTCTCCTCCCTCAGCCTCCCAAGTTTTGGGATTACAGCCTTTTAATTTTTTTAATAAAAAAGAAATGAAATAACCTATTGGTAAACACTTCTGCTAAAATGTTCATTTTTCAAACTGAAACATTATCTCCATATCTCTTGACCTTCTAGTACAAATGTTTGTATGTTCAGTTTTATTAAATCAAGTCAAACCTGTTCTGGGTAATGTGATATTCTAGGTGATAGATTTCATTTAGGGTGGGGTAGCTGCAATGGTTTTAAATCAAGTCTCCACCTCAGGAACCTAGGAATGTTAGGTAGGAGATTAGGAAGTCTACAGCTTGCCAAGAACTTCAGCTATTCTATAAACAATTTGATTACTTATGCTGATTCCTGCATACTAAACAGGTTATCCAAGTCTTAAACTTGATGCTTCTCTGCAGTGTTTGAACCACCTTTCCATGGGCATAATCATTCATTTGTATATATTTTTTTTTAGTTGGAGTCTCACTCTGTTACCCAGGCTGGAGTGCAGTGGCACTCACGGCATCTGCAGCCTTGACCTGCTGGGCTCAGGCGATCCTTCCGCCTCAGCCTTCCAAGTAGCTGGAACAATAGGCGCACGCCACCATGCCTGGCTAATTTTTGTGATTTATTGTAGAGACAAGGTCTCACCAAGTTGCCCAGACTGGTCTTGAACTCCCGGGGCTCAGGCAATCCTCTCACCTCGGCCTCCCAAAGTGCTGGAATTACAGGCTGAGCCACCAGGCCCGGCCCATTTGTACATCTTAATACCATTTTTTAGGAATAGGTCATGACGTTAAAAACTACTACAAAATTTCCTATGGCTGCACACCTTGCCTTTATTTTCTGTATTAAAGAGTGGAGTTGAGGGAAAAAAAATGTATGTGTAAGAAAAAAAAGGATGTGCATAAAATGGTATAATTTTCAGGATGTTGATTTAAATATTAATTTGAAAGAAAGTCAACAGTGCAGAATAGGCCTTTGAAAGTTATGCAAAGAATTATATGAAAGTAGTACCTAAGAATATTATGCCATTTGACATAAATTTTTTCCATAAATAATCTGATTTTGCCAGACTACCTAGTCATCAATTAATATTCTGTCATGGGAAAAAAAATGTTTGGTGACATGTTTAAATCACCCTTAATCATATTTAAGATGAAAGACCTTCAAATCAAATACCTATTTGACTCCGTAATAGCAACTAAAAGATGAGAATCCTCAGCTGGACATGGTGGCTCACGTCTGTAAACCAAGCACTTTGGGAGGCCAAGGAGGGGAACTGTTTGAAGCCAGGTGTTCAAGACCAGCCTGGGCAACATAGCAGGAAACTGTCTCGACATAAAGAAAAATAAATCAGCCGGGTGTGGTGATACGTACCAACTACTCAGGAGGCTGAGGTGAGAGGATCACTTGAGCCCGAGAGGACAAGGCTGCAATGAGCTATGATCCCGTACACTCTAGCCTGGGTGGCAGAACAAGAAAGATTCTGTCTCAACAACAACAAAAGCAAAAAAAAAAAAAAGACTCCTTTACTTATGACAGATTTATTTTAAGCTCAAGGTAACTCGATATGTTCAACATCAAACATGTATATTTAACACAGCACATTTTCCCAGAGTGAAGCTCAGATCCACAATGGCTCTGAGTGCCACACATAATTTGCCCTCCTCTCCTTACCTCTCTGACTTCATCTGCTTGTTTTCCCTTTGTTCCTCCTGCAAACACGTTTGCTGTAGCTAAACAAGCCAGGCAAATTCTCACTTTAAAGCCTTTGCACCAGCTGCTCCCGCTGCCTGGAATACTCTTTTCTGGAGTCCACAAGACTAGCTTCCTTACCTCTGTCAAGTGTCTGCTCAAACTTCATTTCAATAACGTCGATCCTGTCCACCTTGTTTAAAATTGTCGCTTTCCCACTTCTCATCTTCACATTTTGTATCCCCCTTGCCCTGCCTTTTCCCTGTAACATTTATCACTCTCTAACATCCTATATCATTTTCTTCTGTATCAGATTTATTGCCCACTTCTCATCCAGAATATAAGCCTCATGAGGGAAGAACTTCATTTATTTATTTATCTTTTTGTTGTTGTGCACTGCTTATCCCCAGTGTCGGGAGAAATGCTTGGCATGTTGTAGGTCCACAGTAAATATTTTTTGAGTTAACAGTGAATATTGCAATCATCTGCTTGCTTACTGTTAAAGCAGAAACTCAAATGTACTTAAGTCAGGTGATATGTTACAAAAGCCAAACTCTCTTTTTACAGATAACAACACTGACATTTACTCAACCTCCCTCCCTCATCAAGGAAAAATAGCACAACAAAACATCCACGTCTCATTTCCCAAGCTCCAGCAAAAACGTTGAATAATACAAATGGGTAAAATTGCAATTTCTGTCTCTCTCTCTCTCTCTCTCTCTCTCTCTCCCTCTCTCTCTCGAAAAAGAAAGAAGAAGTGAAGAACTACATGAAGATTTTGGTAAGAGTGTTTTCAGTTTCACTGAAGCATTTTTTAAAAAATGCTGCTTGGGGTGTCAAAGAGGCTCAGCCAGGAAGTGTGGTCCAGAGGGCAGGATTTCCTGCAGGACTTCGAGCAACTCACTCTACCAGCGCGATTGCGTCCACGTGGCACGAAAGCCCAGCGAGCCCGTCTGTCAGTCTGTTTGTGTCTGCATCCTCCCCGGCTGAGCGCAGCTCCGCCAGCCTATCAGTCCTCCGCGGAAAAAACACAGTTGCCCGAGGCGGAATACATCGGCGAGAGGAGGCTGGCTGGTCCTACTTGGTCGTTCCCCTGCGTCTAAGCGCAAGTGACCGAAGCCCCAGTTCCGTGACCCATAGGTTCTGCCGGGAAAGCCCCACTGGGTCATTCCCAGCCTGAAGAATCCGAGTGGATTAGGTTCTCTCCTCCTCCCGGGTCACTCAAACTGCGCCTCGTCCCGTGATCCCGCGGTCAGTATGAATCATCCGACTCACTTCGGGCCGGAGGGCAAAGACGGGTCAGGGCCGGTTGTCACAACTGCGTTTGGCCGCTTTTCGGGTCAGTTTCGCCGGCGTTGGTCCCCAAGGGCCCCGGCACAGCCCTCGCCCAGGTCCGCCCGGGGACGCTGCACAGGCGGCCCCGACCTGCAGGGGGCGCCCCCACTCTCTCTCCGCCTACTTTTCCCTCCGCCATTCTCACCTCTCGCCTCCCCCATTTACCTTCCCTCCCTCCTCACTCTCTCCGGTCTCCCCCCGTACTCTCCCCGCCATCCTTCCCTCAGTCTCCCTCCCACCTCCGCCCCGTCCCCCGCCCCGGCGGCGCGCTCAGCGCGGACTTCGGTGGCACTCGACCCAGAGACGGAGTTCCCCAGCCCCGCCCTCCGGGGCGGGGCTCTGGCTCGGTCCAACCAATGCCTGCGGGGAGCAGGGGGCGGGGCGGGCGACACTTTCCTTAACGCGGGCTCCGGCCCTGGCGCGGCGGGTGCCTCTCCCAGCCGCGAAGGGCCCCTCTGCCCGCCGCCCTCTCCGCGACCACGCAGAGCCTCGTCCGCTGCTTCCGACCCCGTCTCCTCCGCGCGCCCTCCCCCCGCCGCGAGTGGTGCAGTCCCGGCTCGCGGGTCACGCGGCGGCGGCGGGGGCGCGGCCTGCTCCGGGCCCTGGCGGTGCCTCTCGCGGCCTCTGCGGGCGTCCGGGGCAGCGGCGTTGGCGGCTGGAACGATGCTGGGCCCCCGTCGCCTCCCCTGGGTCGTCCTGACCGCGGCCGTCACCTGTGCCCTGGCGCAGCACGCGCCGCCGGTGAGTGAGCGTGAGCCGGGCGCAGGGGCGGGG